TCTTAACTCTCACCCTCTGCCAACTCCCTCCGTTCTCCCACCTGTCTCTGGTAAGTACAGCTGTTTTCCATGCCTTTTTTTTTCACATTTTATTGATTTCGCTAAAGATCTCAATTAGTTTAAAGACTATCAATAGCAAGCACAGCTGATATATACATTTTTATGAATGCATGTCTGACTTTAGGCGTAAACTTCAGTGAGTAAAGTGAACATACTATAAACTAGTACCTCACTGGGGCTATGTAGCTTACTGCACTTGTTAAGTAGGTATTAATAGGTATTTTTCACTTCATTTTTTAATTTCAAAAAAAAGTTTTAGTTTTTATAGATTAAAATAAAAAAAGTTAAGAGAAATTTGCTTAAAACTTAAAACCAGAAGTGATAAGTGTTGGTGGGGATGTGGTGAAAAGGGAACTCTCCTACACTGTTGGTGGGAATGTAAACTGGTTCAGCCACTGTGGAGAACAATATGGAGGTTCCTCAAAGATCTACAAATAGAACTATCATTTGATCCAGCAATCCCACTTCTGGGTATCTACCCAAAGGACAGGAGAATGCTCAGTCAGAAAAGTGCTTGTACATCAATGTTTATTGCAGCATTATTCACAATTGCCAAGACATGGAACCAACCTAAATGTCCACAAACTGATGAATGGATTGGAAAAGTTTGGTATATATACTCTATGGAATACTACTCAGCCATAAAAAATAACAAGACCCTGGAATTTGATAGAAAATGGTCATAAAGTAAGCCAGGTTATGAAAGAACGATATTGTATGTATCTACTCAATATATAACAACTATCCGCACTCTATGGTAGAGAGCAAAATATTGGAGGACATGAAAGCAGTGAAAGTACTTAACGAGAATAGGACAGTGTGCAATGTGGGGGCATGAAGAGAACAGGATAGAGAAAGAAAGCAAGAGAACAAATAGAGAGGAAGGACGTCAGTGAGAAACAGATATGGCTTATTACCTGTTGATGACGTGTATAGTGTTCTCAACTGGATTGGTCTGAGAAGTATTTCATGATGGGTAAAGTCTTTTTACAGGCAAAATGAGAAATAGTGATTGACTGTTTAAAAAAATTAGAACAATAGTAATAATAATGATTGGGAAAATCATTGAAAAGATATTGAATGATGAAGTGGGGAGATTAATGTCTCTGTATTGACTGACATGCAAGGCATTCCCTTTTGAAAAAGCAATGCAATACACTATAAAGTTATATGCAATCGAATGTATTATAAGCAAGATTATGATGATAATAAAAAAAATTAAAAATAAAAAAAACCCTTAAAACCAGGAAAATGGTTAGGATTCAGTCCAAATAGTAGGTAGATAAACTTATTAACAGTTCAAGAGATGACAAAAATCCTTAAATATGGAAATCAAAGCATCAAAGAAAATCAGTAATGCTTTAGTCTAAAGTAAAGCAATTCTATTTCACTAGTTTAGACTCACATAATTAATCTCTCTTCTGTTACATTTGCAGTATTACTGTGGTCCGATCTTTCCGTTTAAACTCTGGAAGTTAACATTTAACTCTGAACTTGTCCCCACCATTAGGCGGGGCCATTCTCTTGGTTGTTTCTTATACTCTTATTTATGTGTGTCTGACTTTAATTATCCTGGGATAGACTCCCTTCAGCACTTCTTGGAGAGCTGGTCTGATGTTGGTAAATTCTTTCAGGTTTTGTTTATCTTAGAATGTTTTTATCTTTTTCTCCCATATGAAAGATAATCTTGCTGGGTATACTATTGGTTGAAATTGTTTTTCACTTAACACTTCAATTTATTTCCCCATTCTTTACATGCTTGCATTGTTTCCGATGAGAGGTCCGACGTTAGTCTTATGGGATAACCTTTCAAAGTAACTTGATGTTTCTCTCTTGCCAATTTTAGTATCCTGTCTCTGTCTGTGGTTTTAGTCAATTTGGCTGTGATATGCCTTTGGGAAGATATTCCTGAGTTGATTCTATGTGGGGTCTTTTGTATTTCTTGGGTCTGAATATTTGAGTGCCTCTCTAGGTTGGGACAATTTCTTTCCAGGATTTCATGGAATAGATTATCAATGCTCTTATTAGTTTCTTCACCTTCTGGGATACCAATGATCCAGATGTTTGGACATTTAATGGTATCTAGTACTACTCGTATATTATTCTCATTTTTTTTTATTATTTTCTCAGTCTTGTTGGTGGATTTCTCTAGGTCAGAGGTTCTATCTTATACATCTGAGGTTTGATTTTCTGCATGATCTAATATGCTTTTGATATTTTCAACAGAAGTTTTTATTTCCTGTATTACAGCCTTCATTTCTAACAATTCTTCTTGATTCTTTCTTATGATGTGTATCTCCTCTTTCAGAATATGTAATAACTTCCTTACATCCTGGAACTCAGTGTCTCTTTTCTCCTGCATCTTCTGGAGTTCATTGTCTCTATTCTCTTGCATCTCTATTAGCTTCATCACTATGAATATTTTAAAATCTTTATCTGACATTTCCATGAGTTTCCTTGTATTCTTTGTGGAGGAAAAGGAGTTACTCTTTTCCATTAGTGGAGAGATAATTTCATTGCTTATCATATTTTTTGTGACTGCGGTGGTTTCTGGTCATCTGATGAATTATGTGTTTTTTCCAATTTCTTGGAGTTCAATCTGACTAATCAGGAATGCAGAAGGAGGTGACCTGCAGTCTGTAGACAGTACTGTTATTCTTCCTTTGCACAACTGATTCAATGAAAATTGAGGATTAATCTGACCAAGAAAGGATTCAGATATTTGGCTACTGATCACCTACCTAGACCTGTCTAGAAAGTCAGTGTGTCTAGACTGAGCAAAAAAGTGATAATAGTAAAAAGAAAAGGAAATGAAATAGAGAAAAACAATAAAGAGGGAAAAAAGAGACCAAAACAATAAGAAAAAGAGAAGAAAAAAAATTTTTTTCAAAAAATGAAAACCGCACGATGTGCTAATTTGATGCACAAATGGGGCCACTCAGAACTAAGACATAGATGCTGCTGATTGGCCTATCTGATGGCGGCAGGGCAAAGGTAAGAACTAGAAAGCCAAAGAGCAGCAGAGAGCTAAGTTTAAAAAAAGAAATTAGAAAGAGATAGAGAGATCAAAAGAGACAGAACAAGTAGGGTTCTCTGACCTGGGTCCTGGCTAGACTGGGAAGAGGAGGGTGAAGTCTGGGCAGAGGGTCTTCGGTGGTCGAAATCAAGTCATTAAGTCTTTTTTGCTGATATTATTGTCTGAATATTCATGCCCCTCCCAAGTCACATGGTGGAATCGAATACCTGATATGATGGTAGTAGAAGGTGGGGAATGTAAAGTGATTCGGTTCTGAAGGTGGAGCCCTCAGACGTGGAATCAGTGCCTTGTGAGAGGCCAGAAAGCTAGCCAGCTCTCTTTCCACCGTGTGAAATTACAATGAGAATTTGACCGTTTATAAGCCAGAAGAGGGCTCTCACTAGCACCAAATCACTGTGGCACCCTGATCTCTGTAAGAAGTAAGAAGTAAACTAGTTTAGGAAACTTTGTTATAGAAGCCAAAACTAAGACACACTCCTATCATACCTCAGGCTCTTTCTTTGAATATCTTTAAAGTCTTCTAGCGCCTTTTCCTTCTCTACTAACTTCTTTAATAAGTCTTTATTCTGGCTTTAGACTTATACCCACTGTTTTTTTTTTTTTTTCTAAGATAGTTGGTCAGTGAAATTGAATGTCAGGGTCAAGAGGATGGTGCTGCAGTGAAATATGATCTGCAAGGCTGACAACGTGGGCTGTTCCAGCTTCCTACCAGGAGAGCTCCCCGGAATGGCAGAATGCAGGTGCCTCTGCTAGAGGGTTCATTGAGCCCCTGGGACATCACAGGCTCACCGCCTTGTTTAAGGTACTTTCTCTCTTCCTCTCCCTCCATGTGTGAGTCTCTCTTGCTTATGAAAGTAATTAACTTATAAAAAAGAGTGTCAAAGATTAATTAACTTTCCTTATTTTATTTAAGTATAACATAGACATGTAATACAATATATGCAGTGTGACATTTTAGATTCTGTATAAAACTAAACCTTGGAAAAATACAAGTTGAAATACAAATATGTTGTAATTACTATTTTTCGTAGCTTATTTTTTCTTAGATTTAAAAGTAAAAGCTGAACATTTTCCTTTGGACCAGCAGATGGTGTGATGCCTTAAGATGTTAATCTCAGTTGTGGCATTTGTTTGTTTTTGTTGGGATGTAGAAAACAAAATTCAGCATCAAATTATTTATCTCAAAATGGCATATAGCTATTTATTTGTGTAACAGAAAATCCCATTTGCATATAACATCGGCGTTTCCAAATGCAGACAGACTGTAAAGCTACATTTTATCAAAGGCTTATTTGATAGATTTGGTAACAATTCCAGATATATTTTAGTATTGTGGTACCTTAAGTGGTAATATTTTTTTGTTTCTGACCATGTTACACTGAAGGTCAATCAGTAGAGGCCCAGTCACGTGGCACATCAGGTTACACTACAGGTCGATCAGTGGAGGCCCAGCCACGTGGCACACCAGGTTACACTACAGGTCGATCAGTGAAGGCCCCGCCATGTGGCACACCAGGTTACACTATAGGTCAATCAGTGGAGGCCCACCCACGTGGCACACCATGTTACACTGCAGGTCAATCAGTGGAGGCCCACCCACGTGGCACACCATGTTACACTGCAGGTCAATCAGTGGAGGCCCAGCCATGTGGCACACCATGTTACACTGCAGGTCAATCAGTGGAGGCCCAGCCATGTGGCACACCATGTTACACTGCAGGTCAATCAGTGGAGGCCCAGCCATGTGGCACACCATGTTACACTGCAGGTCAATCAGTGGAGGCCCAGCCATGTGGCACACCATGTTACACTGCAGGTCAATCAGTGGAGGCCCACCCACGTGGCACACCATGTTACACTGCAGGTCATTCAGTGGAGGCCCAGCCACATGGCACAGACCACAATGCATCAGTCTGTAATACTAGAGCCACATGGTGAGTCAGGCTTCGGGTTCCAGGTCAACCTGATGGTCCTGGTTGGATGGAGGACTGGGTCAGAGGATCATGGCATAACGAGACCCCATCATCAGTGCCTGACTCACACACTCTCTTGCTTGTTCATAAAAGGAAAGAAATAAATTTAAAAAATAATTTCATTTGGATACCTTATTTTTTGATCATTATTAACTGGCAAAGGCAACTTATAATATTAGCTCTTTTTCATAAAGGTGAAAATTGAGGACTATTTTTGGAAATTAATTTTTAACTTTACAATTTGTGGTAAACTACTGGGGAAGGCTGTTACTTTGACTTTTGGAAATGACTTAATCACAAGAAAATGTGCCAGATAATTCCTTCTCTGGTGAATTTCTGAAGAACTCAATTTCATTAGAAAAGAATAAAAATCCACTTATATAATTAGTTCTGAATGTCCTTACAAATAAATATCCAAAGAGTTTTTATGGTTATCATGCAAAAAAAAAAAAAAAAGCCAAACTAGAATTAATATTCATTGGTGAGAGATTTTTTTTTTCTTTTTTTGGAGAGGTTTTTGATATAGGGCACATGTGCTCGCCAGACATAGAGAGACATAGAGACAGAAAGCAAGAAATCACCCCCCCATGGGGGATGGCCATGCCGCAATCCCTTCTCCTCCATTCTCCTCTCAGGATCTTGGGCATGCACGCACACACGCCCAGCGTGAGTTTAAGCCACTGGGTCTGGGACTCCGCAGTCGACTATGTGGGAATCCAGCGATATAGCCATTACGCTAACTGCTGGTCCCAGTGAGGTATTTTTCAAGGTGCAGATTTTCCTTTCCTGATATGAACAAGTGAATTTCTTTCAACAAATCAGAAATTACCCCAGCACCTCCCATTGCTCAGTCGCCCAGCAGTTAAATGTGGCAGGTGAAATGTACATCAGTTGATAGAGCCAAGTTTCAACTGTGTCTAATTAAGCGTAGGAAAGCATTGTTAATCCATAGTCCTTGTTGTTGGCCTGACCCTGGTCTACATGTGGTGCATATTTAACCTTTAGCATAGGGAAAAATAGGTAAATGATATAATGGATTAATTCAATGAGTTCTTTCCACAATCGTCACACTTGGTTTGTTTAGTACAGCAGATCCTCACGCATGCATTCCAAGCCAGGTCAGATTCCCTTACCTTCAATTTTTCAACACCTGCAAAGGAGCCATTTCAATACATGTGTATTATGGACACTCCATGCATGAGTCCCTCAGTTACATGGAAGTTGCTATTAATAAAAATTTCTAGTATTCTGTGGGAATTCTCCTGTGTCTTCAACATGCAAGTAGAAAGTCAAGACTAAGACAAACATGGGGACCAGCAGTTAGGGTAATGGCTATGTTGTTGAACTCCCATGTAGCCGACCACATTTCAAGTCCCAGACCCGGTGGCTTAAACTCATTCCAGGCGTGTGTGTGTGAGTGCCCAAGATCCCAAGAGGAGAATGGAGGAGAAGGGATTGCAGTGTGGCCATCCCCTGTGAGGGGTGATTTCTCGCTTTCTATCTCTCTGTCTCTCTGTGTCTCTCTGCAAAAATCTCTCCCCCCCCAAAAAAAGACTAAGACAAAAATGGTAACTATGTGTCTGAGTGTTAAACAAACATCCTAACATGCACCCTGAGCCCCCAATAAAAGATTTGAGAAATCTATTTTTCTCAAACTTTTAAAGAAATCTCTGCCCACTCATAAGCAGACCATTAAGCAACTGAGCAGACTTCAGTGGCCACAAATAACAAGTTATTTACAGAAATAGTTCAGAAAAAATAAACAAAAACGACTGCAAATAGCAACAACAAATCCTGGGAACAAGGGAGAGTCCCTTTTCCAGAACTGTCATATTATGATGGAAATGTCCTGTTTGTTTGTTGCTGTTTTGTTTTGCTACAGAGCACATACACACACCAGAGAGAGAGAGACAGACAGACAGACAGAGGGACAGTCTGAAGCCATCCCTCAGGGGCATAGCCACGCTGCATTCCCTTCCCCTCCGCTGTCCTGTTAGGATTTTGGTCAGGCAGGCAACCAGAGTGATTTTAAAGCCGCCAGGTCCGGGGCTGGAATCCAACGTCGAGCACGTGGGCTCCAGTTGTCATACCCTCCAAGCCCTGTGCCAGCCTGAAAGTGTTTAATTTTCAACAACAACAGCAAAAAGATACAAAATATGCATGCAAATAAGAGCAAATGGCCGCTATATAGAGCGAAAAGGTTAACCAGCTAGTGACGCAGCAGGAACACAACGTGCTGTACGGGAAGGTCCTGGGTTTGCATTGGAGGCCTTCCTTCCGCTGTGGGTGTGTGCGTGTCTGCGTGTGCGTGTCCGCGTGTGTGCACCAGCGTGCTATGGTCCTTGCTGGCTGAGTCTAGGGGTGAAGCACCAACTGAAGACCCCGTTGAGGGTCTCTCTTTCTCTCTGTCTCTGAAGGAATTCCGGAATAAACATACGGTCGCCAAGGGGCGGGGCTGCGGCGAGGGCAGCAGGGTGACCTGCGCTGTCCCTCTCTGCCCTCCGTAGGAAACCCGAGCGGGAGGGTCGCAGGCGTTGGCGGCCGTTAGGATGCGAAAGCTGGCCGCCGCCCCTGCCGGGGTCACCTCCGCGTCTCTTGGCTGGTGCCGCGGCGCTTACGTCTTCGTGAAAACCGGCATCACCGACACAGTGCAGTTGGGAAAAGATGCGTATGTCTATCTGAAGAATCCTCCTCCAGATTTTCTTCCGAAAATGGGAGTGATTACCGTGTTAGGATTGGCGGGTTTGATTTCAGCGCGAAAAGAATCTAAATTTAAGAGAATTGCTTATCCCCTGGGCCTGGCCACTTTAGGAGCGACTGTTTGCTACCCAGTCCAGTCGGTGAGAGTTGCAAAAGTAACCGGGAAAAACACATACGCTGCAAGTCAGTGGATCGTTGGAGCAGTTAGATCATTGTGGAGAAAAGGCAACCGCAGAGAGTCCATGCCTGAACGTACCGATAAAACTAAGCTGGAGAGGTCTGCGGAAATAGAAAGACCTGCAAAAGCGGCTCAGGTCCTGGTCCTGCCGGACTCCGCGCCTGCGCCAGAACTCGGCTGTGACTCAGAGGCCGCGGCAGGTGCTGCACCGAATCCGCCTGACCCCAAGCTCACGGACCACCCGCAGGCCCATCCGGAAGTCGTGGGCGCGTTCTGTGCTAGGAGCTGAGGACCGTGTAGACTCGTGGGACTGCGTGATAGTGAGGCTACAAGAGATGAGGAAAGAATTCACGTGAGGGGTAACTCACGCAGAGAGAACTGAAGTTTTCCAGTACATCTTGAAATACACAGTTTGACCAATCACATACGTGAGTGAGACGCAGACTATGAATGCAGTCCAAGTGTGTGAAATGACTGAGGGGGAGACACAAGTGTTAGGATGCATCTGACTGGTGAAGGTATCGACTTAAAACCGGAACAGAGTGAAGACATAAACGCCAAGGAGACTAACGTGAACATTTCTCTGTGTGGGTATGTATGCGTGTGTAAACATACACACACACATACATATATACATGCACACATCTGCTGTAACTCTTCTGGATCGATGTCAGTTAAATTAGGTTGGCGTGTGGAAGGATATGTCTCCCCTCCCTCTTGTTTCCCCATTTCCCAGAGCTGTAATAAAATAGCTATACTTTATGGCAAAAAAAAAAAAAAGGCACCAACATACACTTAATATGTACTTGCATAGATACTCTGAACTTAATAAGAGTTCTAGAAGAAGAGGAAGGGGGTACCAAAAAAGCTGGGAGGAAAAAATGTTCAAACAACATCCCTTATGTGGAGAAAAACTTTATACGTTATTAAGAAGATAGCACACTTTAAATCAGATAGGCTCAAAGAGACCCACACCTGAACACATCATAATTATTTAAAAAGTTAGAGGCAAACTGAAAATCTTGAAAGCAGCAGGAGAAAAGTGACTAATAATGTGGGTACGAAGGGTTGTATATGGGGCTGAGGTTGACACTGTTTCATAAGCCATAGAGGTTAGGAGGAGCAGAACAGCATACTCAAATCGCTGGAAATAGAGCAGGGGATAAAAAAAATGACTGCCAACCAAAAATGCCTAAGGTAACAAAACATCCTTTATAAATGGAGGAGAAATTAAGACATACCAGATAAACAAAACTTTGTACAATTCTTCACTACAAAAAGTTCTAAGGTGAGTCCTTCAGGCTGAAATAAAATGATGCTAGACAGTAACTCGAATCTATAATAAGACTCAGAAAGCATCATTAAAGCTAACTACATAGATAAGTATAGAAGATAGCGTAAATGCATTTCTGTTCATATCATTTCTAGTCTCCCACCTAAATTAAAAGACAGCTCCATAAGGCAATGTGTATAAATCTGTGTTAATGGGCATATGATGCAAAAAGATATCATCTTTATTACATTAACTTTACAACGAAAGGAGCAGAGAAATAAAAACAGATTTCGTCTACTATTGCAATTGAGTTGGTATTAATCCAAAATAGATTGCTGTAAATTAAGATGGTAATGCGAAACCCCAGGTCAATTACTGAGAAAATAATGAAAGAATATAGTAAATGACATGGCAAGAGAATTAAAATATGGAACTATAAGAGATCTATGGAACATAAGAGAAGGCAATAATGAAGGGGCTAGCTGGGGAAGAGCAGCATAAACCACGTAAGATATATCGAGACAAATAGTCAAATGGCGGACCTGAATCCGAACATGTCAGTATGTTAAATGCCAATGAATCAACCACTCCAATCATCCACCTAAGACTCAGTAATTTCCAGAATGATAAAGATATAACTATGTATTGTCTATAGGAGACATACTTTATATTAATGATAAAAATGAGTTTGAAGATAAAGGATGAAAAAGATATACAAACAGTAACTACAGGAGGCAGAGGTGGCTATGAAAATATTAAACAAAATTAACTTTCAAATAAAAAAGTAGTACTCAAGGCAGAAAATAATTATATACTGATAAAATGTTTAAACAACAGAGCCCTGAGTTACATGAAGCCAAATGACATAACTGAAGGGAGGAATAGACAACTCAACGGTAACAGTTTGAAATTTTTCTATGCAACTTTCAAAGATGGATAGGACTACTGAGCATAAGATGGAAAAGGGAAAAGATATACTTCAATAACTCTGTAACTCCCCTAGAGATCGCTGACGCCTGTCCGATGGTCCACCTCACGGGAGCAGAAGCCACATCTCAATGCACGGGGCACATCACCATGGCCAGATGGTCACTGGAAACGTAAAAGAGCCTCACTAAATACAGAGGACTGAAATGATAGGAAGTACAAGGAGACTTCAAAATTCGTTAAAAAATAGAATTACACTCTGAGTTTATTTTGGTGAAGAAAAAATTGAAAGCCAGTGCATACTTGTTTCGTAGTTCACATTTTCTATGAACCTTTTGAAGACCCCCTCCTATGTTCTTTTGTAACAATCGGATGAAATTAGGAATACATTTTTCAAGGAACAGGTGGCAAGTCTCATCCTCCTAAATAGAAGAGGGTCTAAAGAAGTTCATGGAAAATACAAATTATGTGGATTCCAAAATTTTTTGCACTGGCACCTTAATTTCATTTTTCCACAGATGTTTGGAAGGTCACCTCTTAATCAATGGGTCACAGAAGAAGTCACACAAAAAAATTAGAAAATTTTTAGTATAAATGGAAACAAAAGCATAGCAAACCAAAACGTACATGATAATGTTAAAAGCAGTGCTTTAAGGAAAATCTATGGCCACAAGTACCTATGTCATAGAAGTAGAAAGCAGGGGCTGAATGGTAGCGCAGTGGTAAAACTTAACATTCTATAAGATAATTCCACATGAGAGGGCTTCTGGTTTAAGTCCAGAGATCTCCCTGAGGGTACCAGGCACATCCTTACCTGTGCATGACCCAGCGTTGGGCTGAGGGGGTGGAGTGGGTCATGGCATTGAGAGCTTTCTGAAAGTGCTGTCTGTCTGTCTTACTCATGGAGGAAATAAGCTTGAGGGAAAAAAAAAAGCCCCCAGCTTCAGTAGCGTTCTCCAGGCTTGACAGTGCAGCCTATGGCCTCAGCTACCCAGACTCCCAGTCAATGTGAGCCAAATTGTGAGGTGCTGTCTAAAGGAACTGGACATGGAGGGACGGGCCAGTTGTCCCAGCTCCTGAGGACTCTGAGGTGAAATCCTATGAGGGAAAAAAAAATACAAACACATACATACTACAACAAAAGAGAAAACATGATCTTAAATCAATAACCCTTCTTTAGGGACTGAGAAAAAAAATGTTAAAAAGCCTAAGTGAAGCAGAAGGAATAATAAAGACTTAAGTGGAAATAATGAGGGTAGAAAATAATAGGAAAATTAATAAAATCAAAAGTTGACTCTGAATAAAAAATGGCAACATTGGGAACAGCAGGTGACATAAGGGCTACATTGCTGGACTCCCATGTGAACACCCGTGGTTTGAGTCCCAAACGCAGTAGCTTGAACATCACACCTGGTACACGTGCGTGCGTGCCCAAGATTCTAGGAGGAGAATGGAGGAGAAGGGATTGTGGAGCGACCATCCACCATGTGGGGTGATTTCTCACTTTTCCTCTCAGTATCTCTGTCTTTCTCTCTCTCTCTGAAGAGTGCAGAAACCCTAAGGAAAAAAAAACCTCTTTAAAAAACAAAGGCAAAATTGATACATCTTTAGCTAGAATGACCAATAACAAAGAGATGAAACTCAAGTTGCTAAAAGTCCAGATGAAAAAGAAAACGATAATACAAGCTTTTTTTTTTTTAAAGAGGTTTTTGCCTCTTTTTGAGGGGAGGGAGACAGACAGTAAGAGGGACAATGAGAAGTTACTCTCGCCCCAGGGGGATGGCTACGCCACAGTCCTTCTCTTGGGATTTTGGGCACACGTGTACACAAGTCCAGTGTGAGTTTCAAGCTACTAGGTCCGAGACTTGATCCACGGTCAGCCATGTGGAAGTCCAGTGACGCAAATGCTACACCATCTGTTGGTCCCTACAATAATACTGATTTCACATTTTTAAAAAATTATAAGGGAATATTATAAAAAGTATGTAAATAATTAGCTAAATTAGGTAACGACAAATTCCTCAAAGAACACAACTACCAAATCAGACCAGAAGAACACGACTGGCAAATCAGACTCAGACAGAAAATATGAACAAACTTATAACGAATAAATAATAATAATTTAAAAAATAATACACAAAGATAAAGCTAGGATAAGAAATCTTTACTAAACTCTACCAATCTTTTTTTTTTTTTTTTTTAATTAAACCAATTCTGGGGCCAGAAGATGGCGTTGTGGAGAAGGTGCTGGACTCCCACATGACTGACCGTGGTTTGAGTCCCAGACTTTGTGGCCTGAAAATCACACCAGCATGTATGCATGTGTGCCCAAAATCCCACAAGGAGAAGGAAGGAGAAAAACCTATGCCATGGTCGTCCTCCATAGGGGATATCTCTGTCCCTCTCTTCGTTTCTCTCTGGTGAATATACGTGCCCTTTGGGGAAAAAACAAAAAACAAAACAACTTTCTTTTTTTAAAATGTAATACTGGGGGCCAGCAGGAGGTGTGGTGGATAAGGGCGCTGGATTCCCACATGGCCAAACATGGTTCAAGTCCTGGACCTGGTGGCTTGCTTTCTCACTTTCCCTTTCTCTCTCTCTCGTCAAATAAAGAAAAAAATAACAATAACAAATGGAAATAAATAAATAATTCTTTAAAAAAAAAAGTAATACTAATTTTTCCCAAGCTCTTCTGAAAATAGAACAGGCATGAGCATATTACATATTACATACATATGTATAATACAGTGTATACATAATACACATACACATATTTTATGTTTAACCAACCCATATTCCTGGATAAACTTCATTTAATCTTATTTTTCCCACCTGGTATAATCCATTTATTCTCAAATATTCTGTGAGGACACTATTATATAGCAAGGAAAAAATATAGCTATCAATCAACATCTGTTGTGAATATGAGCACAAAATGTCCTTAACAGAATACTGGCAAAACAAGCCCAACAATATATTAAATGAATTATACCAGGAGAGGCAAAGGGCAAAGGGAGATTAAATGAAAATCTTTTCAGAATACAGGTTGGTTCAACATAGCAAAAAAAAAAAAAAAAAATCAATATAATGTACCATGTTGATAAAACAATGAGAGGGGGCTTCACAATGATTCCATAGACACGGAAAAAGCATTTGACAAAATCCTATGCTATTTTATGCTAAAAATACTCAACAAACTATGAAGAGCCGAGGATTATGGGCACCTGATAAAGGGTGCTTGTAAAAAACCTACAGCTGACACAATATGTAATGGTGAATGACTAAAATCCTTCCTCCTAAATCCATGTTCCCAGTACCACGAACAAGAAAAGGATACTCATTCTCATCAGTTCAACACTGTATTGGAAGGTCTAGCTTCAGCATTTATGAAAGAAGAAAGGAAAGGCTTCCAAATTGCAAGTAAAAGTGCTTCCATGTGAAGATGCCATGCGCTTGCAAATAGAAAATCTTTAAAAAACATACCAAAAGAATCCATTTAAGCTCATAAACAAGTAGGCAAGGCTGCAGGCTTCAAGATCAATACATAAAAATTAATTGGGTTTCTCTATATCAGCAATGAGCAATTTGAAAATAAATTCAATGCTATTTTAAAGAGTGTCAAAATAATAAAATATTTAGGTCTAATTTTTTTCTTTTTAGAGAGAGATTTTTTACTTTAGGGTATGTACACTTTCTGGAGAGACAGAGAGACAGAAAGTGAGAAATTACCCCCTGGGGGGATGGTCATACCGCAATCCCTTCTCCTACTCCTCTTCCTGGTTTGGGCACACACATACATATGCCTGGTGTGAGTCTTATACGACCAGGTGTGGAACTTGAACCATGGTGAGCTATGTGGGAGTTCAGTGACATAACTATTATACCATCTGCGGGTCTCAATTTAGGACTAAATTTAAGAAATATTTCAAAAATAGAAAACCACAAAGTTGATAGCAATTAAAGACCCAAATAACTGTTAAAACTTCTTACTTTCTTGGTTTAGAAAGCTCGCTGTTATGAAGAGGACAATATTCTCCAAATAGACCTACGGTTTCAACCCAAACCCTATTAAAAATTCAGTTGTAATTTTTGCTGAAGATGTGCTGATTTTTAAATTCACATGGAAATGTAAGGATCAGGACAGCCAAAAGAATCTTGAAAATGATACCACCCCTGGGTATCTACCCAAAGGCTAGAAATGCACTCAGTTGGAGAAAACACTTGCACATCCATGTCTATTGCAGCATTATTCACAACTGCTAAGACATGAAATCAACCCAAATGTCCAAGAACAGATGTATGAGTTGAAAAAGTGTGATGCGTTATATACACTATGGACAACTACTCAGCCATAAAAAACAATAAGACTCTGGCATTTGATAGAAAGTGGATGAAGACAGAAGATTTAATGCTAAGTAAGCCAGGCTCTGAAAGAGAGGCATTGTGTGTCCCCACTTAATATGTGTGAAAAGTCTGCACTCAAATTGGAAGGTATAGAAGTGCAGAGAGCAACTACGGATGGATCCCTGAGTCAGTAAGAGAGGAGGACATGCAGTGGTGGGGT